TGGAAATGTGTTAAATCTCAACGGGGCAGGAGATCCTCTCACTCCAGGCTATCCAGCCACAGGTCAGTGTCCACAAGCCCAAGACTGACCCCCTTTGGGTAGGAGAAAACATCACTTTTTGATATAATGTTTGCTTTCCATATATACTGTATTTTTTGGAGTATAAGACACACTCTTTTCCCTCAAAAAAGAGGGTGAAAATCTGGGTGCGTCTTATACTTTGAAACCCTGCACCCTTTGAAAAAAAATGCTCCTGGGGGCGACAAAAATGAGCAAAAAACAGAGCGTTTTTGCTCATTTGTGCCCCCCGCAGCCCCCAGAAGCACTCTACAAGCCTCTCAAAGCCTCTGCATGGCCCCCTTTTATTTTTTGCAAAAAACGGCCCGTTTTTGTGAAAAATTGGCTGTTTTTTGCTCATTTTTGCCCCTCCCCAGCTCCTAGGAGCATTTTGCAGGCCTCTCAAACTCTCTGCATGCCCTGTTTTTCACAAAAATAATGAGGCATGCAGAAGGTTTGGGAGGCCTGCAGAGTGCAAAACCTTTTTTAAAAAAATTTACCTCTTCAAAATCATGGTGCATCTTATACTCCAGTGTGTCTTATAGTCCGAAAAATATGGTAGATAGTCCTCAATTTATGATCCAATTGAGCCTAACATTTCTGTTGTTAAGTGAGACAGCAGTTAAGTGAGTTTTACCATAATTTTATGATAATTCTTGCCACAGTTGTTGAGTGAATCGTTGCCTTTGTTAAGTAACTCAGTTGTTAAGTGAATCTGGGTTCCCCATTGACTCTGCTTGTCAGAAGGTCGCAAAAGGGGATGACATGACCCCGGGACACTGTAACCGTCATAAATATGAACCAGTTGCCATGCATCTGAATTTGACCATGTGACCATGGAGAGACTACAATGGTTGTAAGTGTGAAAAATGGCCATAAGTCACTTTTTCCAGTGGTGGTGTAACTTCAAATAGTCACTAAATGAACTGTTGTAAGTTAAGGACTACCTGTAATAGCTGTCATTTACAAGTTTTGGACATTTCAGATGAAACTGGAAAATATTTACTCTAAGTTCCTCAAAAAAATATGGATACACTCTTTTTGTACAGATAAGTATATTGAGGGATGCTACCAAGGGTTGAAAAAAAAACTGCAACACCAGTATGCAAATATTAATAGGCATTTTTCAGTGGCAAATTAATGTGAAGCCACAGAGCTGCAAATCAATGTTTTTACTGTTGGAAGTTTAGCAACACAATCTAAACACCTCTGCAGATCACAAAATAGACCAGAGCAGAGCAGAGCAGCAGAACATGGAATGGAATGGAATATAGAATGTAGAATATAAAATGGAATAGAATGTACACTATATTGCCAAATCTATTCGCTCACCTGCCTTTACTCGCATATGAACTTACTGTAAGNAGCATCCCTGTCTACCAGATTTTCTTGCTACACATGCACACAAACATACCGAGGGAGAGAGAGGTAGGAAAAGAGAGGGAAGGGGAGAAGGAGAGTGGGAGAGGAAGGGGTAGAGGGAGGGAGGGAGAAGGACAGGGACAGGGAAGGAGATCCTGAGGGGGAGACAGGGAAGGTGGGAGGGAGAAAGGAAGAGTTGAAAGTTATTGGATTTTCTATTTAATCTTTTTTAACTTTTGTCATATGTGTTTTTATGTTGTACGCCGCCCTGAGTCCTTTGGGAGAAGGGCGGCATATAAGTTCAATCAAACCAAACCAAGAGGGAGGGAGAGCTGGAGAGGGATAGGGATAGGGAGAGAGGGGTGGGAGTGAGTGAGAGAGAGTGATAGACAGACAGAGAGAAACAGAGAGAAACAGAGAGAGAGACAGGTAGAAAGAGAGAGAGAGATAGAGAGTGAGAGAGAGAAAAACAGAGAGAGAGAGGTAGAAAGAGAGAGAGAAAGAGAGAGAGAGAGAAGTAGAAATAGAGAGAGAAAGAGAGACAGAAAGAGACAGAAAGAGAAACAGAGACAGAGAGAAAGAGAGACAGAGACAGAGATTCACAGAGAGAGAGAGGTAGAAAGAGAGAGAGAGAGAGACAGAAAGAGAGAACAAGAGAGAGACAGAGAGAGAGAGAAACACAGAGAGAGAGAGGTAGAAAGAGACAGAGAAAGAGAGAATGAGAGAGAAAGAGAGAGAGAGAAACACACACACACACAGAGAGAGAAAGAGAGACAGAAAGAGAAACAGAGACACAGAGAGAGACAGAGACAGAGAGACAGGTAGAAAGAGAGACAGACAGAGAAAGAGAGAACAAGAGAGAGAGACAGAGAGAGAGAAACACAGAGAGAGAGAGGTAGAAAGAGAGAGAGACAGAGAAATAGAGAACAAGAGATAAAGAGAGAGAGAAACAAAGAGAGAGAGAGAGAGGTAGAGAGAGAGACAGAGAAAGAGAGACAGAAAGAGAGACAGAGAGAGACAGAGAGACAAGAGACAGAGAGACACACAGAAAGAGACTGCTCTGGCCTAAGAGGCCAACTATATTTAATCTCTCCTCTTAATTTTCTCTTACACCACAAGTTGGCCATTTGTCGTCCTGTTGAGCGCATTGCACTAATCCAGATTAGAAGAAACACAGTACATATCCAGTAACCCTTGGAGTCCATCTTAATTCAATACAATAGCAGAGTTGGAAGGGACCTTGGAAGTCTTCTAGTCCAACTCCCTGNGATAGAACCGGTTCGGGGGCGTGGCAGGCTGAGTTACTACTTACTTGGCCGAACTGGTAGGAACCCACCTCTGCTGGAGATATTCAAGAAAAGATTGGACGGTCATTTGTCTGGTAAGGTCTTCTCCCTTGGGCAGGGGGTTGGACTACTTTCCTCATTTACATGTACTCATTTTATGTGTTTATGGCTATGTTTTGCTTATTTATAATCCATTTATTTGTGCCATTTTTTTTCACGTGTTTTCATACTTGTTTCCTTGTACTTGTTGACAAATAAAATAAATAAATAAATCTTTCTCTGCATTAGAGCCTTCTGCACAGAAGTAGGTCTTTGCATCATTTGACCAAAGTATGACCATCTAGCTCCGTAAAATTGACCTTTGCACATTGACAGTTTGGGATTGAAATGTCAATTCAAAACTTTATGGTCTTGTAGACAAAAGGATGATGGATAAAATCTGGACCTTCCTGCCATTAAAGCTCCAAAAATCAGGTGATGAAAATAGTCTGTGGCATGGAAGATGTCAGGCCTGCAGATATCTTTTCATTTGGGTCTTTGGCCTGCCACACTTTCTATTATTCTGCTATGCCTTTTCTATTGTGGGAAAATGGGAGGGGGGATTGTACGGAGTTAGATGCTATGTAGCCATAACAAAATTCTTTCTAGAAAGCCAAGGTCATCCTTTGTTTCTGCACTTCTGCACCTGACCAGAACTGGATGGGTGGAACTTCCAGCATGGCAGTGGGAGATAGGACCATGGGATGGACTGGTGGGGATGGGGGCAAGATCTTGAACTTTCAACTGGGTGAGGAAAACTGGGAAGCTTTCAGATTTGGGTTTTCCCAGACGTGCCAACATGTCTCTCTTAATAAATTGGAACTTTCAGCAATACTTTGTCTTGGACTCTGATTTACTTTTGGATGCTATTTGGAACCCTGACGTTAATCTGAATCTCCCCCCGTCCCATTTTCCCACAATAGAAAATGCATTGTGACACTCAAGATGAAGACCAAAGAGGGAAGGAAGAACAGAAGTGACCCCCAAAAGGATAATCCCTAAAGAAGAAGAAAAGAACATATAGAATATTGAGGTAGAAAACTTAGTGATAGGAACAGGAAATACTATTAAATGATATTGTATAAGAACAAAGAAGGCCTGAATTTCAGCCTTGAGTTTAATATCTTCACATTTGATCCTGTTGTAATAAAAAGGACCCCTGTTATAAGAACTATATCATCTCATCCTCAAATCTGCCACCATGCCCAAATGAACCTACGACAGATGTGTCTCACCAAGGTCAACAGGTATTAAAGTCCTAGATACAGTATTCACAGAAATTACGTTCAGCAGGGTTTCCCCCCCACCCCACCCCATTGCATTACTTCGGTGGTCAGAAAAACAGTCATCAAAGATATATTCAATCTCTTCCCACCTGCCCAAACCAGGTCTAAAAAATATTGAGATTGATCCTTCTCAATGTCATCAGATCATCTAAAAACATTTTAACTCATCCGAGCTACTTTCTGGATGGACAGTGAGAGCAAAGATTTCACGGGAACTTTTACATGCATAATATTGGCTTCGGCTTGGGTTGAATGGATCTTTTAGCCAGAATACACTCATGATCTTTAATCTTTAATCCACTGGAACCGTCAGGGCAAACCTATGGCATGCATGCCACAGATGGCACACGAGCCGTCCCCCAGCTCAGTTCCATTGCGCATGCGTGCGCGACTCCCACCGGCCAGCTGGCTTTTGGGTCTCTGCTGTACAAGCGGGAGATGCGCTATATGCGCAAGGGGGGGTCACATGCTCATGCGCAGGGGGTGGGGGGAGCGTGGGGTATTGCGCCCCCTTTGTGGTCTCAGGAGGCTTCAGGAAGGCCTGCTAGGCCCAAAACGGTGGTGTGGGGGGGCACGCATGTGTGTGGGGAGCATGCATGCCTAGGGGGTGGAGCGCATTGTATTTTGGGTGTGAAAACGCACGATTTTGGCACGCGAGGAGAAAAGGGTTAGCCATCACTGCGCTAGAAGCACAACATATACCAAGTTAATCATGATGTCGCCACGATCCAATTGAAGTAGGATTGACCTGAGACCTTATTCAATCATGGTGGTTAGCAAATCATGGTGTTCCTTTGAGAGTCCCAGCTGCAGCTGTCACGGTGAAAGCAGCAACGAAGATCTGCTTCCTCACTTCTTCCCAGGCTTTCTCTTGGTCTGCTTCGTGATCAATGTCAAAGAGGGCATCGTAGATCCCAGGGAAGGACACGCCGGCGTATTTGTTGTGACTGTTCGGAGCAAAGATGATGTGTCTAGAAAAAGGCAGAGAGGTCAATTGGCCATTGGAATCGCATTATTTAGAACAGAAGTTACTGAGGTTTGAAATAAATCAGCATCCTCTAACCTGCTGCCTTCAAAACGTTAAGAAGAACTCAACTGAATCAAGCCCAAAACAAACCTAGTCCAGGGGTCTCCAACCTTGGCAACTTTAAGACTTATGGACTTCAGCTGGCTGAGGAACTCTGGGAGTTGAAGTCCACAAGTCTTAAAGTTGCCAAGGTTGGAGACCCTTGACCTAGTCTACATTCAATGTCACATAATCAACAACCAGGTGCATTCTGGAAGCCAACGGGATTAGATTGATAGGCTGAAAATCAAACTAGCTTTGTTGGCTGAGGAACTCTGGGAGTTGAAGTCCACAAGTCTTAAAGTTGCCAAGGTTGGAGACCCCTGACCTAGTCTACATTCAACGTCACATAATCAACAACCAGATGCATTCTGGAAGCCAACAGGATTAGATTGGTAGGCTGAAAATCAATCTAGCTTTGCTGGCTGAGGAACTCTGGGAGTTGAAGTCCACAAGTCTTAAAGTTGCCAAGGTTGGAGACCCCTGACCTAGTCTACATTCAATGTCACATAATCAACAACCAGGTGCATTCTGGAAGCCAACAGGATTAGATTGGTAGGCTGAAAATCTCTTACGAAGAAGATCTTAAGATTGGGTTTTAAGAAGCAATTCAAAGACTTGTGGAGTT